GGCGGGGGCGGGCGGGCGGCGGGGTGCCCGGCGGTGCCGCTGCCCGTTCGAATTCGGATTCATCCCGGCCGTTGGCAGCTGTCAGCCGGCGGCCGGTTGCCGTTCTGCTCGGGCCGGGCGGGCCGCGCTCCCCTGGTGCCGCCTCCGCCTTCAGGGCAGCGCATCTCCTCGCTCTCGCCGGGACCTGCGCTGCCCCTGGCCGGGCTCCTGCGGGCCCCTCTGTCCCCGGGACACCCCCGAGCAGCCCCTGGGTTTGCTTTGCGGCGAGTCTGGGCTTTCCTGTGCCGGCCAGGCCTCCGCGGCCGTGCCGGTTGTGGGACTGATTCCCCGAAGCGTAAGTGCGAAGGGGGAGTTGGGCTGGTGCCCTGTCACCGCGTCGCGGTGACCTCCCGCCGCTCCGGAACGGCGTGTGCCTTGTGACGGGGGAAAAAAAAAAAAAAAAAACAAAAAAAAAAAGGAAAAAAGGCAGCTGCTTAGGGTGGTAGTTCTTATTTCCCTGATGCAGTTTGGCTAATCGGTGTGCTCTACCTTGTGGAGAGCGCGGCTTTGGGTCTGTGCGTTGTGGTGGGCGTGGGGTTGTGCGTGTTGGAAGGATGGCTCTTGGGATGAAGGTGGGTCCAACCTCAACCTGGTTTTCTCCTCTCAGGTCATGTAGAAGAGCAGATTTAATGTGAAGATGGGACTGTTGGTGTTTATGCGTAACCTGCTGCTAGCCCTCTGCCTCTTTCTGGTACTGGGATTTCTGTACTATTCTGCTTGGAAGTTGCACCTTCTCAGATGGGAGGATTCAAGTAAGTATGAGCGCCGTGTAACTGTTTCTGGGCTCCCTAAAACGTCTGTTAAATAGTTGCACTAGTACTGAGGAGGTTCTGATTTAGTAGTATTAGAAGGATGTGATTAAGCCCAATCAAATGCTGGAGCTTTTAGTATACTTAAGGGGTTGAATTTGTGATTACCTAATGCTCTTTATGGCTTTACTTTTATTACTGGGTACAGAAGCAAGTTCACACTCTATAAATCTAGTATTAGAGCCTTCAGTTCTTAGAGTATTCTGTGTTAGTTTATGATTCCTAATTGTCAAAATAAAGAGTTTGTGTGCTGAGGTTTTTGTTCCGTGAATCTTTCTGTACATTTTGAAGTATCTAAGACAAGGTTTTTTTCTCTGGTTGATTCTGATTTCTTTCTATAATCATATATACTGGTTATCTCATCATCTTACTTTGTCCTTCAGAAATCCTCATCTTCCATTTGTCTTCTGTGTAGTTATCTGCCAACTATCTGTCACCTAAAATGATGTGTCTCAACCGTTTTAAGTCCAAAGAGACATCTGACCTCATTGAATACAATCTGAGGGTTGTACTCGGCATTAATGCCATAGGAGGTTTTAATTACAATGAGATATAAATTAAGCTGAGTTTTGATTGCTCAGTTACTGCTCTTATTTTTGGTTCTGTTGTTTCCTTGCTTGCATGTAAGAATTTTATATGTAAAATAGAAAAACAAGAAAATAATTTCCTCCTCTCCCACTCCTGCCCAAAACACAAGCCAGCCTTTTTTGCAGCTGTTCCACGGGCTGTTTCAGATGTCTCGCAGCCGACCGTTGCTCCTTGGATCAGTGGCTGAGAAACACTGATCCAGAAGGATTGTTTGTCTGTCTGACAAAAAGCCATCGGTCAAATTCCATCTTCTCTGTGTTGCATTTCTGTGCACGCTGCTGGAGGTTTCTACTGCAATGCTTATTAAACTTAAGACTTTTCTACCTCTACGTGCTCCATATCTGTTGTTATGTGGTCTAAGAAGTTTTGCCCGACAGATGATGACTTGGATATGACATTTGCACTGATGCAGTGTTTTGGACAGGAGGACTGCTAAGGCGTCTTGTACTAGAACAGGTATTGAAAGACCAAATTTGTAACAGGAGGTGCACAGTGTCTTTCTAAGCAGGGATTGTTTCTTCAAGTTTCTTAATTTCAAAAATCTTGATTGTGACCTTCTGAAAACTAGCACTTTTGTGGATGAGGTATAGAAAATCTTTCCAGCGTGAAAAGAAGTAAAGAATGTAGTTAAAAGAACAGTTTTGCCGTACCTGCTACCACATAATGGTCTGTTATGAAATCCTGCCATCTGTTGCTTCCTTCATACCCCCAGAAGTTGTGTTGGAACTTCCCAAGTTGTATGAGAACTTTGTTAAATGTGGAGGAGAAGCTTTGTGTTTATGTGCCATATACCGAGGTGCTGGGGTGAGTTCTAAATTTCTTCAGATTTTGCCTCTTTGGAATTTGTGCCTTTTAGTTTAGTGTGCCATTTGTTATTTTACACCATGTCAGTCCCTGGGGAGTTTTAGCGTAACTGTGCTTTGCGATGTAGTGTTGCAAGTCTATATGCAAATATTGTGAATTTCTATTATGCATTTTTTGTTTATTCTTGGGAGTTGCGGTGTTTACACTAAGCTTCTTCAAAGCTTCATGTACAAAGCAATGATGTTAGTTTCTAGATTTAGCTTATTGGTCTTTATCAGTTGTCACAATTGATATAGACTGTATCATTGTTCCTTTTCTTCCAGACACTTTATGAATTGTATCTTGAATATCAGATGAAGCTCTGTGAAATATTAGTGTAAACAGCAGTCTGGTGGAAGAGGGCAAAATTTTATGTGATTACTTTTGAAAACAGTTAAGATGGTACCGGTTTTCAGTTGATCTTCATTCAGCGTTTTGCATGTATCCAAATATGTTTTATTTATCATGTAATTTTACATGAGGAACCTATGCAGATTTAAAATTCAAATTTTAAAGCCTGTATTGGGAAACTTGATATGAAGAGTTAATGTTAAGCTTCTATAAATAAGCTCTTGGAAGTTAACAAATGACAGAATTGAAGTTGCTCATTTAACCATGATTAGGCTTCCTTGGTCATGTGTAATATGATACAATGTATAATGGTGCAATTACACTTTCTATTTTCTGAAGGAGAGCTTTGCTCAGTTCAGTGGTGGAGACAGGTGGTGCTTGATAGCTGTTCGTGGTTTTATTTCCTCAATTGCAATTCAGTATGACCTTGTAAATTTCCTTAAGATTGATGTGATAACGCTGATGTCCTGAAAGGCAATGCTAAGTTAGATGTGTTAATTTTGGGGTGCTTAATAATCTGAGATTTATTGAATTTACATGTAAGTTATCTTCATATTAAATTATTCTCTCTTTTCTTGTGACCATTGTCTTTATTCTGGGTAGCAGTGACTCCCTGGCTTCAGCAGTCACATTCATCTTTTCTCTGTTCCGTTCTTTGTGCTAGAGGAGGCACGAAACTGAGCTGATCCTGACATCTGACACCCTGGCAATCTCTTCAGAGACTGGTTTTAGCAAACTTGACACCTGTATTTAGTAACGGACACAAACAAATTTGCCATAGCTTCGGTGAAAAGTATTTCTTGCTGCTGGGGGTGTGGTTTGTTCACTTAATGTTTTAGAAGATGCCTGTGTGTGTTGTTGTTTTGGCTAAGTTTGAATGGTAACTTTGTAACGAATCTAGCGGATGCTGAGACATGTTTGTATATTTAGCTGCTCGAGTAAATGAATAGTTAAAGTGATTTGTTTAGTTGCACTTCTGACACCCGCAAGAAAGGATGCTAAACTTCTGGATAGGCTGAAAGATTCACATCAATGTTTCTCTTACCATCTCCATTTAACTTTAATGTCCTCCTTGAGTGACGGCATAGTGAGTTCTGAGAGATTGTTCTCCTTGCTGTGTGACTCTACACCTTGCCAAAACACAAAGGAGAGTAGGAAAGAATTAATTCTCTGGGGCTTATCTTTCCTGTGACAAGAACAGATTGAATTCAGCTAATGTGAACTAATTAAGGTTGAATTAAGTTCAACTGCTGCTTCCTTTCAAGACAAACCTCCAGTGACTGCTACCCCTCTCTCATCCTTTTAGTGAGTGCCATGGCTGGCTACTCTTCCCCCCGCCTTGTTTCATGTCGGTGGCAGTGTGTTGTTAGTTCTCAGAGCAGCAGCAAAGTGCACAAAGTGGTGTGTCACACTGTGCGAGTGCAGGAGGGCCTTTGAGTTCTGGTGATCGTTGGGAATATGTGAGCAGTCTTTAGGACAGAGGTAAGCTTTCCTTTTTCTTCTTTGTTTCCTGATTTCTGTACTGCAGTTTCAGGCTCTGACAGCAGAGGTAAGAGATGTAACTGTCCTTGCACGTTCATCCCAGACGGGTGATAATGACGGATGCCGCAGCCCTCTGATTAAGAGTGCCGAGTTGTGTGGAGGTGTGCTGAGCGTGGAGAACTGATAATGTGATGTGGGAAACAAGCAAGGAACTAAGAAGTTTGGTATCAGGTTTAGCTGTCACGTACATTCTAGAAGGACCTTGCAGCAGCAGATAATCTTAACCCTGTTTACTGTGTTTCTGGATACTGACTTGTCAGGGAATTCTTACATAGTAATGGTAGTGATGGGAGCAGGTTTTGAAAATCTGAGATGTGCTCTGCAGCCTCTTTCCTAGTAACTCCGTGTCCTATCCCTTCCACCTCCCCTGGTGCATTTGATTCTGAGGAGAAAGGAAGATGTTACTTGTAGAGTGTGCAGAAGGCAGCACATGGGAAGGTGCCCCTTTCTCTTTGAAAAGGAGGATGGGAGGTGGAGTCTTGCTGACAGTGCCTCTTATATTTGCTTTATCAGCTTGGAGGAATGAATTTTTACCCATAGCTGAATGACAGAACATATTCATGTTAAAATTTAATACTGATGCTACTTAACCTGGTACATGTATAGCTGATTTTTGCAACTTAAAAATGAATGTGTTGTAAGGAAGGAATGATTCCATTAAAAAATATCCTGGCTGTGGAAATACTGGACTCATTCCTCCAAGACAGACTTTTTTTTTACCTTTTCAAAGTACTGAAATATACTTGGGATAGGGACAGTGTGATGCTGTTTTTCCTGTTCTGTCATATTTCTATCTACATTAGCATTGAATTAATTTAAAGAAATATACAAATATATATTCTACTTAGGTACTTTTGCCAAAACCTAAGCTAATACAATTTGTAGCTGTAGATTTTGAGCTTGTCAGTTTGAATGTGGCTTTTGAAACATCTCCAGGAATATTCTGTTGATGTCTCCATAAAGAAATCGAGTCACTACTCTGTCATCTGTTGCTCCATGTTATTTTCAACTCTAATTCTGGAAAGGCAGCCAAAGAGATAAAGCTCTGGGAGGAGATTTTCTGAAGGTATTTCAGGACCCTTATCCTTTTTATCCTTTTTTTTTTTTATGTCTGTTTCCATGGGAACTGAGGAGACATAAACAGGCAAAACTGACTCACTTCTGGTAGCAGGTTTTTAGTCTGCTTGCATTTCCATGGAAACCAGTCTCGCAGCAAAAAAAAAGACTAAATTAGTCGAAAGCAATCAAACCTCTATCTTTAATATAAATACTGATGTATCTCTTTTGAAGTGAAATGGTATTTTTGTGAATTCCTGTATTAGGGACTAAAAATGTACTGAAGAAATGGATCCTTCTACAGGGGTTTGGAACGTGCATGCTTTTTTTTCATGTGGCTAAAGCCTCACGGTATGTGTGACGGTATGTGGTGTGGGTACAACTGTTGTATATTGAGTTACTAGAGGTGTCGTTTGTTCTGTTAAGGGAGTGGATCTTGCGTACGCAGGCATCTGACTTCTTTTCATTCTGTTGTTTAATGAAAAGCAAATGAAAAGACATTCAGTCAGCGTGTGAGCAACTAGGCCACGGGGACAAACTCATCCCCTTTGTGGAGAGAGGCA